TATTTAGCTTTTAAATAGCTAAAGTTTAATTGCTTTACACATTTTATGAAATTTATAAAGTAATAGATTTCATGTATTTCAAAAATATTAATTATTATTTACGAGTATTACCAAGCATTTATGCTGGAAAGTGTCAGCATTTTTTTACATACTAAATATAAAAAATCTCGGAAATGTATATATGTATGTACTTAATATCTTGCCTAAAACACTTTTTGTTACGAAAATAGAATTTTGTTGTCTTCCTGTGTTTATTTTTTGTTCACTTTCATTTTCTCTAGTCTAAATAGAGCAAAGGTTATTTAGTAGGTTTGATTTTGTAGCTTTGTATGAATATAGTCAATATGAATATAATAAAGTGACTTAGACCACTCGTAATCCTGTTACTTGAAGAGGTTCACGTAAAATGCTATTTAGCTGATTATTGTTTTTTAATTTGTCACATCCCGAAATCAACCCTCTGTCCTATGAGAGGTTGAACTTTGAAAACGCCAAAATAAGTATTAGATTAATTATTGTGCCATAAAACAATTTAGCACATTATTACAAACTGTCAAGTAAAATTAGCCAGGAAAATTTTAGTATTCATATAGCGTTGTTTAAGGGTTGAATTTCAAAAAGTTCTGCTGTGTTGACAATATTTTTTTTTTCTGTCAGTTACTATTTTAGCGCTATTCAATCAGAGAGAGAAAACCAGAAAGCTGTAAATAAAAAAATATATTATAAAAATAATAAAAACCCGACTGCATAAAAGCTAACTATAAATATGCAAACCAGTTGACGTAGGAATATGGTATTATGCAGTCGGAGACGTATATACATAGTTATTTGTACATCTCTTGGCAAGGATAAACGTGATGTCTCCGACTGTATAATACTATATATCCTTTTTTTAACGTTGGGAATGCTTTTACGCATACCACCTGTAGACATACAAGTGGTTATGTGGGACTCACGGCTAGAATAGCCAGTACAGCCCACTAAACCTTCCCCGTCTTAACCGTTTCCCTGTCCCATGAGTCATATATAAACATTTCGATTGTTTTTCTACTGTGTCTATTTTGCGGACAGTTAATCTGTTAATGTGGCGTCACAGGATCGCTTGCGCACGCAACCACGACTCGTCTACGGCAGGTCTGCCGATGCAAACCACAACAACCATGGGGTTGCTCCAACAGTTCACTCTGCTTTCAGAAGTATCAAGAGCGAGCCGCATGGTACACCGCCCACCGAAGTGGGCCAAGTCCCTGTGCGTTTCTTGGCTTCGCCGGACTGCCAGACGCTAATGTATCACGACACCACCACCACGACAAGGTGAACACACGCTGGGGAGGATAGTACCTACTATTTTCATTCGTCAACTTGTTTTCATCTTTTTAGTTAGCTTTTATACTGTCTGGTTTTTTTATAATATATTATTTTTATAATCTTCAATCGATTCTTTAATTCTTTAAAATAAACGACATTTTTTTTATATTCACATATTAATAAAACGCTTGTAATACCTGTGGTCTACACAAGACCAAATGTTTATGTGAAGTAATGAAATTGTTTTCATTTAATTGGTTAAAGCGTTTTGTATCGGGAAATCATGTGTGCTCACTTTATTTTTCCAGCCAATGATTGTTTGCACACGTCTATAGTACCTTTCGTATCATATAAGTTTTATTATCCTCCTTTGGTAATAAAAGGCTATAAAATATAATAAAATTGTCGTGTATTCAGAATTCATATAAAGATGTAGGAAATAAGTATTTTACGTACACCAGATGTACACCTACATATATGGCTACGATATAGTAGTTCTATATTTATCCTATACTTTATTCGGTATTAGTAGTTTCCATGATATTTTTGTTTCAAAATAATGTGACATAATATGTACAGATGTATGTTAAAAATAAGGCCATTCACATTCGTTTTAGCCACTTACCTTTTTTTTCATTCACTGAATTTTTAGAATGTTGCTATTTATATAATGTGTAGGTACTTCTATGATTCTAGAAAAATCATTTTAAAAGTATTTTAGTTGACTAGCCTATATAATTGAGATATTAAATTATGTCTACATTAAATTAACGATGCGTGCTGTAAAAAGGAGATTCTTACGTCAGTATGTTTATGGGGTACGTAAACAAAGCAACCACATCCTCCCAAGCATGTTCATGTGCTAAAATAAATTTGAAAATCTCTGTAAAATTCTTTTTAAAATTTTGTACTAAACAATAGTTATTTATTTATAATTCTCATAGCAATTGTTAAAAAACCAAAAGCAAAGTCAATCTTCTTCTACATTCTATATAAATAAAAATGAATGTTCGTATGTTTGTCCTCTATACGTTCTTAAACCATTGATCCGATTGTATTGAAGTTCTGGTCGGTTATTGTGTATACTCAACTCGTTCCTGGCGCAAAAAAAAAGATTTTTTTGACGTTGGTCTTTTATTTGTCACCATTCAAGCTTAGGTACCCGGGAGAAGCGAAGATAAGTCGTATTGTATTGAAAAATATGAAAATCCAGTGTTACTTTTAATAAATAACGCTTAGTTTAAATGTATTAGCGTATGAATAAATAACTTAGATAAAGTCTAATATAAAATCAGAGATTAATATTTACTAGCGGCTCACCCTCGCTTCGCTCGGATTCGTCCCTAGCCTGCTTCCCCATACAAACTTTCATCCCCATTTTCACCCCCTTTAGGGATAATTACCTTGATAAAAAGGTATCCTATGTCCTTCCCAGGGTCTCAAACTATCTTCTTACCAAATTTCATCTAAATCGGTTTAGTAGATCTAGAGATTACCCCCTACAACATCACAAACTCACAAACTTTACCTCTTTATAATATTAGTATTTAGTATAGATAACGAGCTGTGCCCTCGACTTCGTTCGCGTGGAATTCAGTAAAACAAAAATGTGTAACGTATGTGTTACGTAGATATATGTGCCACCTATTTATTATTATATGTAACACGTAATAACTTTTTTGAAATTTTATTCTCGCTAGCACCACAGACCGCGCAGTACAATGTTGCTACAGTTACAGCTGACTATAAATTGTAATACTTTTGATATAGTTAATCTATTTTAATGAAAACAATTTTACCAGCTAATAATATTAATGAATACAGCAATCAATTAGATTACAATAATTTTGAATTTTTTGATTATTATTAAAATATTGTACATGTAATAAATATTTTATTAAATATTTAATATCTTCGTCTTAGACTATAAGCCCATAATATTATACAAAGAGCTTGAAACAACAAAATAGGATTAAACAAACTCGTATGCTCGCGATATACTAAGTAAGCTCTTTTATAGTATATTGTAAAAGATTTTTGCAACCATTTCAATTTAACAGATATATTTCAAACTGTCAAAGCTTTCTATAAGCTTTTGTTTACACTGCAGCCAACACTTAATAGAAAATTAAATTATAAAGATAAAAGATTGTACTGGGAACTTTATTCTTATATACTTTTAAATTCCGAATTATGCAAATGTTTTTAATAATACTAAAAAATATTAATCAAGCGTTTCCTATAAAGCTTATTTAGGCACATACATACATTCAATTGTAAGTTACTAAATATGTATTAATATTTGATTTTAACGTAATTCTTTTTTTTTAATGAAAAATGATTTATTAATAAAAGAGTTTTTCAAATACATTAAGCCCGTTGTTGGGACATCCTTTTAAGTAAATATATACCTGTGCCAGGATGTCCCAACTTCTAATCTTCAGTGGCTATTAGTTTGGATAGAACTTTTAATTTGGGACTCATTTGATTCACTTATAATTAACAAAATGCCAAACATTACATTTTGTAAAATAAAGCAGATTTTCGTAGTTTAAGTACTCTATTTATGCTATTTAAATTAACTGCGAAAGCGACCGCAAGCAAATATTTGCGGGAAATCCGAGGATTCTCAACTATGTGTCCTTGTTAGAATATTTAAATAATTACATATTAAAATTATCAATCAATATTTTTTTATATGCCCTAGATTTTTGTTATTATTTTTAACACCTGATACGTATTTTATATAAACCTTTCAAATCATGTTAGAAACTAATGACGTATTTAAAGTAGATGGCTATGTATATAAAATTATAAATAATTTTATAACTCAGACTAAGGAATAATATAGACAGAGTGTCGTAGAACTAAACGTGAAACTAAACAATGTTTTAAAATAATATAGGTATACCTAATGTTTTAAAACAGAATAATAATAATAATAGAAAAATATAATTAACAATAGCATTCCCAAGGAGGGTTGATGTCAGACAGGCGGCCGGTCGTAAAATTTTTGCTAAATCCTATCAGCAGTACCAAAGATGTACTGCGCCGATCCGAAGAGATTGGGAAATGGGCAGGGAGATGATGATGAAAAATAATAATAGAATATTCATTATTTTGATAAGTAAATAAATGTTAAAAAATAACAATAGCTGACGGATTTTATTATAATATTTAATTTAAAAAACATAAATAAGCTTATTAGCTTATTATATATCTCTCTTTTAGGAAAAAGAGAGTGAAGAGAGCTAATACTTATAAATACAAAAGAATATAGATTTTTTAAATAATTCATATTCTTCTCAAAAGTCTAAATTAACGGCTATTTCCTTTATTTTTGGAAGAAACTAAACGACCTGTATGGCAATATCGAGAGGAGCAGCATAAACAGAAAACAACGGTACTATTTTTGACTTTGATGTTTTTTTGCCGGGTTCCGTCTGTATAATTAAAGAATTCTTTAGTCTGAGTATAATAATTTAACAATTTTACTAACACGTCACGTCTATTATATACTAATCATGCAGAAGTAAAGGGGGTTGCGAACGTGCGAGCGTGTAAGTTTTCTGTGCATCAATTAAAATTATTGACAGAGTCTTAACGATCATATTATAACTTATTTCGTGTCCTTACTTTTTATTACTTAATAAATGTGTTATTGCATTGAGAAGAATAGATCGCTAGACTCATATCAAGGAAGAGTCCAGAAATTTGTCTAAATGAATACTGATATATACCGCAAAAGACGGCGGTGGAGAGCACACGTTTGAAGATTGGTAGCACGATGACGTTCGCAGCCCCTGGAACTCGGGGTCGGAGACAGTCGCATGCGAAGCGGGAAGGGCGACGGTGGGGCAACATGAACGGGGCTCACTGAGAGGATGGTGCGGCGGCACGGAGAACGTGTAGTACTTGGCTGTTTGGTTGTGAGCTCGGAGGACCGAGCTGTGCGTCAGCGTGACCACCACCACGAGGACTGACGCAAGCGCCAACGCGAAGAAGGAGGCTGCGACGGCGGCAACCACGCGTCGTCTCCGCGCCTCCTTTCCAGCGTCTTCCGACGGTGCCTCAGGCTCTGGTACTGGTGGTGGAGGCTCCGGAGACCGGCTACGTACGCTGGGCCCGCGGCTGTTCGGCAGTTCCAAGGTGTGGCGACGCGAGCGACGAGCTCGTTCACATTCCGCTGCAGAGGAGTGGTGGCGACGCAAGCGGTGAGGAGCTCCGGGAGCCACCCGACACGATGCTGACCTCAACGTGCGCACTGGGACCATTAAATCATCGCTAGCTACACGCGGAACACGGCCAGAATGAACAGATCGGAAAGAGTGATCCCGCGCAGACCCGCTCGGGAACGCGAGATCGACGGAAGCGCGGGAAGAATGTCTCGAAAAGCGATCGCGATCGCGATGGTCTACGCGTACCGACATGTTGCGAGCGTAGCGCGCGGCGGCGGCCGCCCGAGTGACGGAGTGACGCCGTCCCTCCCCGCGTGGTCACGTCGCCGCCGTGTCGTGTCGCCGTCGTGCCGTAGATACATCTTAGCCGCGTCCAACACACCGTGCTAACGTGTTTACACTTGTCCTCAATAACACAAAGTCCGCTTAGCTATAATATATTTCCTTTGGAGGAAAAACGAAAATCGAATCACTATTTACAGGCGTTAACGTGTTCAAAATTGACATAGAGTGTAGAATATAATATGTAAATGTCTGCAAAGATTTACTTTGTTGAGATGTTTATTGTAACAGTTTAACTTTTAATGTAACTGGTAATTTAAATCTCATTGTTAAAAAGATGAACTTTAAAGTTTTGTATATCTTTAATTAAGTTGAAAGGTTTGCGATATTTTAAAATGCATTTTTTCTTATAGGTTTTTTTAAATATAAAAACTAAAAGATAAACGATGTTTCAATTTTTTTTTTATTTCTCAAGCTCTTCTTGTTTTAAAAGCTTCCTCCAATCTCAAGCAGAACAATATGGATGAATCCTCGATACTTTCAGCTTAAAATAAAATTACCTAATGACATAATTAATCTAACTAAAGTAAATTATTTTTCTCGAATGAAATAGTGTGTAAGATACACCAGTGTTCGCGTTCTCTTTTGTTGCGTCGATGTCGTCAAGCTTAATTGTCTCGTAGGCGGGAAACGTAACAGATAGTAGAAGTTGTGGCAAAGCCGCTACATCTACACCGTTCAGTAGACTAGGACACTTTAGTTATAGCCATTAATCATTCTGTTTACTTTATTTTAAAAAAATGTAAAATAAACTAAATAAATAAACAAATTATTAAAGAACATTAGCGTAAATCTCATTATTTAAAAAAATTATCTCATATGCAGTAACTAAATTACTAAATAGTTATATAAATGAGTAATTTACATAAAAGTACTTCTAATATTTATTAATAAGTATAATAGGGATACGTACAATTTAAAATAGCAACGAATACAAAATGCTCAATAATAACCAGTGACAAGGGTTCGAGACACCTAAAAAAGCCAACAACAGTGTGAGGTCGAAGATGACAATGCTTCATTTAAATATAGGAATATGGTATAAAATGAACAGTATTTTACAAGGGTTTTCCTACAACGTACATGTTATGTTGTATTTTATATTGTTTTACAGAACAGTATTAAAATAAACATAATAAAAAGCAAACTATGACATGTTATAGGTAGTAACTAAAGTAAAAAGTAAAAAAAACTGTGATAGATCCTTATAGAAATATGACTTAAATTTATAAAATTAGTAATTACTCTTTAATCTACCGTGCATCCATTAAATGCTAAGATATTTATAATAAAAAAGATAAGGATCTTTTTTTTATTGAAAGTCGAATATCTCAGGAAAAAGTCGACGTAAAGAGTTTAGTAAAAAATTTTGTTCATTTTTTACATTTTTACATAAGATTACACTACCTTAGTTTCATGAAAATCAAAAGATTATCCTAGAAATTATAAATGAAAAAGCAAGAAAAAATTAAAACCGAGTTTTCTGCAAATATCTCGAAAACTTTGAGGTTATTGTATAAAGTTTTTTTGTTAAACTTGTACATTTTTGTGCCTACAACTTTTGTAGAAAACATTTTTCAACAGAACGTCACAGTAAACCGAAAATTGAAAAAAAAACTATTTTTCAACGCTTTGTGTCCCCCATCTCTCGGGGGTAGCTGGGCATCGGGGGAATTTTACGAATTACTATTCCTTATATACCTGCTAACATTTCAAAATCATAAAACTTCAGGTTTTCAATATTTTTTTTCTCTTAAAATAAACGGATTCCGATTGGTTTATATAGCTAAAGTAAAGTGAAAAATTCAAAATATATTATACTTAGTTACATAACCAAAAAAGATATATTTGTTGCGATTATAAATTTATTTTCTTGTTTCATACTACGGAAACCTGGGTGTGCGGTGCGAGTGAGACTCACACTTGTTCGATTTTTTTAATTTGATACCATATAGTTCGTCTGATGATGGCGGTGGTCATAGATACTTCTCGACTTTACATATGAATTAGCAACAATGTAAGGTACAATTTTTGTTACAATATTTTCGATATCTTCTGTTCGATAGTTTATAAACAGATCATTTTTTTATATATTTAAAATAATACATAGTATTGTATACACATATAATACTTATATTACGTACCACTTTCCGGAGTTATAGTCGAATAAATAATCTATATATCATCAAAATAATGAAAATAAAATTAAAGTCCTTCTCCGTAGGGGGTTCATAATTAATACTGCTTTAAACTTTCCTAAAAATGTTAAAATTATCCGAATTTTTTTTTTGAAATTATGAATGAAAAATGAAAAAAAAACCGTACGGTAACTTCAAAAATTTTTAAAAAGTTCCTTATTCAATCCTTATGGACGGATTCTTCCTTGAAGTTTATATGGGATAGTTCATAACGTATAATTTTAACCTTTAAAAAAAGAATTACGAAAGTTTAATACACGAAAAAATATATAGTCGAACTGAGTACCAAAATCTTGATTTTTTGAAGTCGGTTAACGAAAAAAATTCTTTGACCCATACTTTTAGGTAGAAGAGAACTTTTAAGATAGTTTAAAGCATCCAGAAATTATTTTAAAACATAAAGTTTGAATAAAAGTTTTGCGAAGGCACGCAAACAAACATTTAGCCTTTTAGCTCAAATTACAAAATTTATGGTTTTTGAAATAAAATAATAAATTTTAAGGTTATTAAAGTTAGTAGACATTTTTTGCTTTTAATTATATGATTTATAATTTTTGTTTGAAATGTTATTCCCGTACTCATACTCGTATTCCTTTTGTTTAAAACATATTTCCTCGGTTCGCAACTAGAATCGATTAGTGATAAAATTGAAAAAGTTTATTCAAATAAAAGAGATAATTCACGTAGTTTCAGAGTATCTATTGCAAACTAGCTTGGAACAAAAATTGGAAATATGTATGTATGTACATGTTTTATATTTGTACTAGCTGCGAGTCTTGATACGTGTATCCTACAAATATGTCTCCGACTGCATATTGCTGTGATCTTTCGTCAATTTGTTCTCATTTTTTTGGTTCGCTTTTTACGCAGTCGGGTTTTATATTTTTGTAATTTCTAGAACTTTATTTTGCAAATTTTGTTTGATAATTAGGTTTATCTTTATATATATAATTCTTCTGTGAGTGTGTATGTCACTGAACTTCTCTCAAACGACTGGACCGATTTTGATGAATTTTTTGTGTGTGTTCAAGGGGATCTGGGAATGGTTTAAATTCACAATTTGAATAATAATTTTCATCAAAAAAATTATTAAAAAAAGTTTGAAATTTTCAAATTAAAGACGTGTAGACAGGACAACGTCTGTCGGGTCCGCTAGTAACGTATAAAATGAATTAGCTTTTCATGCTATTTTCATTTTTCAACCTTTTGACACTTGTTATTTATTACTAAGTCTTATTTAAAAATAAAAAAGATAACTGCGAGTCACTGCCGTAAATGGACATCATCGAAATTCGAAGTAAAATATTTTCTATCAGTCGACATTTCCAAGGCGTCTAGAAAAATTAAATTCCCCGGAGGAAATTAAAGTAGCCTTTTAACATAGCGAAGAACATTTTATGACATACATACGTCAGGTTTTTTCACGTGATTTTAATTTGACATTTTACTATATTAATAAATATTTAAAATATATAATTGGTTATATTATATAGCAGTGAGCATATTGGTATTAACTTTGGATTATTATGATATACGTAATCACTCCACTACACACAATAAGGCAGTGGTAGCCCAGTGATAACGCGCTCGCTTGGGAAACCGAGTGAAGCGAGTTCAAATCCCGGGCACCTCTGATATTTTCATGTGCGAATCATTTCCAACATGATTACCACTTGTCTTAACGGTGAAGGAAAACATCGTGAGGAAACCTGCATGTCTGAGAGAACCTAGCAAGTTTTCAAAAGACATGTGAAGTCCGTCAACCCGCACTTGGCCAGCGTGGTGAACTATGGCCTGATTCCCCTCGTACTGAAGGGAGGCCCGTACCCAGCAGTTGGGACGTTAAAAAGGGCTGATTACAATCACTCCACGCTTTTTACTAGTTACTTTAAAGAACTGTAATATCTATGTTCTAAATTCATTTATGCAAATAAAATTTCGTATTGCTCTCATTTCGTCGTTCAGCAAATAAAAAAAAGCAATGGCAACGAGATGAGAGGGCTCTCAAGATTTTCAACAACCACTGTTAACACAGTGACACTTATTGAGATCGGGGTCATGAATAATGCATTCTACAGACGATCCTTTGTAATGGATACTTATGTAGAGGAAAACTACGCTAAGCTTACCTCATATCGATAAATAAAATACTTTCTACGGTTAATAATAAGCAAGCAGTTTCTTTATTATATATAGATATCAATAAATCCGTTATCATTGAAAATATGTACCTATCTAGAACTAATGTTATTGGCGATTTAACTATGATATTTTTTTATTTTTTCTAAGAAAAATACATTTTTTTAATTATATTTTTATTATAACCATTCATTTAGTTAATTAATTTATTTAATTAATTGGAAATACAAAATGGGTATCAATGATAATTAATAGACAAGATAAAAGGTTTGAGTTGTCATTTATTCAAATAGTCATTCTGTTATGGAAAAAAAATCACAGAAATGTGATTTTGTACTCAAGTCGTACTAATGTTTTGATGAAGCGTTATTACAAAAGAAAGAGCAAGTGTTACATGCATGTAGATTGCAGAACGCGTTTTATTACCTACCATCCCGCAATGAATGATATTGTACGTCGATTAATGATGCCTTAATATTCGAGGTTTTAATTAATTTTAAAATAAAATTGTTTAGAGGTACTAAAACAACTGATGCACAATTTCATCGCTCCATAAAATTTCGTTCTTGGTAT